CAGCATTCAATGCACCTATGAATGATAGATTTGTAAATGTGCAAGATGGACTTGATGTTTTAAAAAAATGCAAATAATAGAAAGTTTTTGAAATATTTAAAAAAAACGGAGTATTTGCCATGATTTTTGGTTTGAAAGGTTTTTTTTTTTTAATTAAGCTTAAATGTAAAAACAATTGATGTAGAGAAAATATCCTTTCAGAATCATCAGAAAGAAACCAACAAAAATGGTTTGGACTATACAGTGAATCAGAGATACTCTGCTACAATTGTCATTTTACTAAAAGCTGCCAATATATTTGTATGTTATATGTCTTAATCTTATTTTCTCAAATGTCACAATTCATCGTTTTAAAATGAGGTTTTTGGAAAGGAAGTTAAAACAATCTATAACTTGTAAATTTGGGCTTCACTAAAAAATTTTTCTGGTAAAGATATTCAGATGTTTAAAATTCTTAGACTGTTGTTAGTTTTTTACTCTGACATGAGAGAATTTAGCCATATGACTAAATTTAAATTTTGTTTGTTCATGGGTTTCTGTGGCTGAATTGGTAAGAATTTTATATCCAGGTCCTTCAGTATACAATATGTCACTTCAAATTTTGTTGAAGTTATTTGTTTCTTTTGCTTACTCAACACTTAGAAAAGTGCAATAAAAGACTGGACTGGTGTAATAAATGACCATTGTGGCATAATAAATGACCAAAGTAGTGTAATAAAAGACCAGGGTGGTACAATAAATGCCCAAGTTGGTGCAATAAAAATCAAAAATAAAGATTGAACATAAATGAGGCAAAAATTAATAATCTTGAAAACTCCTTTGAGCAACATAAAACTTTTACTTCACCCTACTGAGTAGAATGGAAAAAGTAATGTTAGCCTTCCTTCATCATATTGTCACCCAAAATTAAAAACATGTTCTACCTGCACTTTTTGCAGTTTTGAGATATTTGACTTCAAACTTTGTTTAACCATAACTTTTTCATAAATTGGCTGAAACATGTCTTTACATACTCTCAAGATTAAATGAAGATTTTTTGTACCAAACTTAAGTGGTCATATAGGGCATTACAGAGAGAACATGAAATGGGGCATAAATAAATGAAAAACAAAAATTGCAGCTAGAACCTTTTTAATCTCAGCTGAGGATAATTGTTTTTGTCACATTTAAAATTTTAACAAAAATGTAGATACCACAATGCCACCCAAATATTTGCTTTCCATTCTATCCAATCACAAAACCTAGCCCATAGCATTCCTTATTACTATTCCTTTTGGTAAAACTCTCAATGTTATAAGATACTTTTGTTAAAATCACTTCTAAGAAATTTCTGCTTTGCCAAATGTAATGTCTTTAAGTTCTCACTTTAAGCTGTTTAATTTTTATTTTTGACTGAGGAGTATTGAATGTCTAAAAATATGCTTAATGGTATCTTTCATATCTTTATAAATTAAATCCTTCAATACTAACATTTCCAAATGTGCATATTTTTCCTGGAAAGTTTACAGATGGAAGGAGTATAGATATCTTCAATGGATTTAGAAGTGTCATTTAGAAGTGTCAATGGATTTAGAAGTGTCATGTTCTTTTGAGTGAATTTAACCCATTAATGCCCACCATAAAAATAAAAATATGACACTATTTATATGCTTCTAAAACATTTTGTATTAATTATAAGCCTCACCTATAAGCCATTAGGTACTAATGGCTTATAGGTAGAAAATTATAATTATCCAAAATTGGATAATAAGCATTAATGGGTTTACTGAACTGATTTGTTTTTATGGGTTATCAACCCTTTGCTGGTTGTTTAAAACCAGAAAATAGTTTTAGATAGTAAGAATTTTTTTTTATAATAATAATAATTTAGTGATACAAGTCTTACTAATTAACCCATAGCTGGGGGGGGAAGATGTGGATTCATAACTTTCCCAAGGCTATCTGTGCATATGGGAATATAAGAAACACAACTGGAATAGGGAATCGGCTTTCTGATGAACAATTCCAAGTCATGATCCATTATACGACCCATACATCTAAGCTTACAGCACGTGGTATTCCCAAGCAGTCACCCATCAAGGTACTGACCAGGATCAATTAATGGGTTAAAGTAGGTATTCTAAATGATAATGGTAATATTAGCCATTTCCTTATAAGGAAATATTCAGCATTCATTAACCAAGCAGTCAGTGCTGCTTTTGGCTGAAATTTATAAATTTGTTCTCTTAAAACAATTTTTCAGGGAAATATGTTTCTCAAGTCCAGTAGCTGTTATCACACTTTCCTGTATTGATAGGGGAGGCTTCCTTCCTAACTTTTTGCTTGAAGCAGTGTCAAACATCAACATTCTGATTATGCCATTATTTTCTCTTCAAGTTGCATGATATCCATTTTAGTTATTGCCGAAAATCCTCAAGAGATGTGGCTTCTGTTATCTAAAATGGTTCTTTGTTATTCTGTAGTGTCAGTCTATAAGGCTTGAAGGTGGATGGTCCTTACTAACACCTACATGCTTCACTCACTCAAAGCCATTTTTAACCATTGATCTGAGAAAGTGGTTGTATACAGCTGAAACTTTCGATATTTCTGAATGAGTTTAATGCCATGCATGACATCCACATGAAAGACTTGATCTGACAAGACTATTTAAGAACATGATTATTTTTTAGGTTTCATAATGGCTTGCATTGTTAGGTGAAATTACCCCTAGCACAGCCTATTTTATGTTCAGTTTCCTTATCTCTTATACTAAATGTCATAGATCATTTGAAAAATAGCTTCTGTTCATGTTCCCAGTCTTATATATATTACTAAAGTCAATAAACTAGTGTTTCCTTTGACCAGATAGAAATAAATTGTTCAATTTTTCAGTATTGGTTTCATACCTGGTTCCTTTTCTAATTCGTTAAAACTAATTTTCAAAGACACAACTTTTTCTTTCCTACACAATGACAAATGCCAAACTGTGCTTATTTTCAGTAAGATCAGTCTATTTGTTACAAATATGTCTTTTTTTCAAAAGTTCATGCTGTTCTAGTGAGTTTAGGCTATGATAGCAACAGGAGTGATTATAGAGAAAGCTTAAACCTAAGATTATGTATTTTTTACTTCAATGGTTAAAAATAAATTCTTCTGTTAATGGTAGAACAACAAAGTTTTATTCTCTTTAATATTTGTCTGTTGATTGATAATTGTTATGAATATTTAAAATGTAAAGCAGTGATGGCCCAAGGGTTGCTGGGGGGGGGCGGCAAGCTGTACTTTGGTGCCCTTACAAGTATAACTTTTTTTAATATTCACAAGGGGAGAAACTGAAAATGTAGTATAATGAGTTTATTAAAATATACAACCTAATACAAGCTAAAGAAAACATTCATTATCCTACCTAAAACGTTTTTTTCTAGCCTTTAGATCTGTAAATCTTTTCATGACACTTTCTATGCCTATCTTCTTTACAAGATCATTTTCTATTGACAAAAATAACCAAAGAATTGAGTCTTGAGTCATGTACAGCTACAAGTATGTTTTTATAAGCCTTAGTTTTGGAAGATTCCAGACACATGACATGGCAGCATGATGGCACCCTTGTCTTTGATAGTGCCCCAGTCAACTGCCTGAGTTGCCAGTACATTGAGCTGGTCTTGATGTGAAGAAAATTGTAACTGCATACACACTCTAAATTTTAAACTATGCTAAACTGAATATGGCACAAGGTCAACTGGAAAGAAATGAAAAAAAAGCAGATTTAGTTAGGAGAGTCTGCCTAACTTGAAAGCTAATTTTTTAAATACTTTTGCCTAGATGAAAAAAAATGTACCTTGGAAAAGCAACAAAATACAGTTTGCCTCAGTCACCAAGCAAGTTTAATATATAATCATTGTCAAAACCTAGAAACTGAACTAGCAATGTACTGCAGAAATAGCCAACTTACCTGGGGATGTGCTTGTATTTGTAGGATTGTGGAGTGTTGGAATGAGGTAGACGAGTGCCCAAAACTTGGATTTTAGCTTTGACTCATCAGTTAAAGAATGGAATTGAGTCAGGAGAGCATCAAGAATATCTACAACAATTCCTTCTTCATCACGTGGAACTAATAAATCCATAGGAGAAAAAAAAATATTAAAAAGCAATATATACTTTATTTTATTTATTTATTTTTTTTTTTACAGTAAGGTTCACACTTTACAAAGCTTGGGGCCAGTCATGCTGGAGGGTTATGTTAGGAGGCCAATTGTGTGTATAGGAGTGGAAGATAATAGTTAACCCTAGCTTTGAACAGGTTAAGATTGTATTGATCATGGAAACATCCTGTTGGTCAATTGTTCACAAGTGGAACTTACTCCTCACTAATGAGATATGGAGGAAATGTGGGTGGTTTGCTACTATGTAAATGGCATGGTGTGTTCTTGTCAAGAAGGTATGACTTGGTGCGACCAGAGAATATAGTTCATCCCAGCACTTTCCGTGGAAGTAGCGGTAGAGAAGAGCGAAATTTGGCACATCCTGAAGGTGGGAGAGAGGTTGATTCATCACCCACAATATATATATATATATATATATATATATATATATATATATATATATATATATATATATATATATATATATATATATATATATATATATATATATATATATATATATATATATATATATATATATATATATATATATATATATATATATGTATACGTATATATATATATTTATATATATACATATATATGTATACGTATATATATATATATATATATATATATATATAATATATATATATATATATGCACGTATACATATATCATAGATACATCAACTTTCCCTTACGGTACTTGTTGACTATCGGATTTGTCCCGGTATTTAGCCTTGGATGGAGCTTACCACCCCATTTGGGCTGCGTTCCTAAGCCACCCGACTCTCGGATTGAAAACCGTCGCTCGCCGTCCGCACTGAATGGGCATGGTACCCGCTGCATGCGACCTCGATCGAGGGAACTCAGAACTATGCGAGACGAAGACGATGTGCCACACGTCCTGAAGCTGTTTACTTGCGACGGGATACGGCGTTGGTCTTCTGGTTCACTCGCCGTTACTAATAGAGTCCCGGTTGATTTCTTTTTCTCCACTTAGCGATATGCTTAATTTCAGCGGGTCCTCTCGTCTGAGCTTAGGGGGCAGTGTTTCGTATTAGTGAGTTGCTGTCAACTGACAAAAGACGCATCTTGTCGACAGCGGCAGAGACGTTCAAGGTTTGTTTTTCGACCTCTGAAAGCGAAACGACGTTGCCGTTGTGGACGTGTTGCAATTAACGACTGCTTGCGATCGTAATGGAAGCGACCCCGCGGTCTGCAAGTGGGAGACGGAAGGAATCTTTCATTTCATCCTGCGACGTCTCGGTTTCCTTCGCGCGAGCAAGGCAAAAGACGCGGGGGACGGCGGGATGCCTCTCGACTATGGAGTGAGAAGACATGCAATTTTCCGCCTCTCGAGCGGACGGAGCCCCGAGACAAGGGATGATGAGGCCGCAATGTGCCTTCGTGGTGTCGATGTTCACTGAGTCCTGCAATTCGCATCAGTTCTAAGCCGGCGAACTGTTGGCATTATCGGTTAGAAACGTGCCCGCCCCGACGAAACGTGCTACCCACGACCACCTGCCTACTTATTTCACCTCCCGATCGCCGAGCCGTCTCCCGGAAAAATGACGGGGAGAGAAGCGATGGTATTTCAAAACAACGACGCGAAAAACCGTAAGTAATCACGGTTAATAACAGTAATGATCCTACGGAAACCTTGTTACAACTTTTACTTCCTCTAAAAGATCGGGTTCTGTCGACTTCTCCAGGCATTGAACTCCGAGACGAGTACGACGCGCGCGGGAAACGGCGACAGCAACAGGGTCGACCGCTGCGCCATGTGCACGCTGCCCGGTGGCGTCGTTGGCCAAATCTGAGGACCTCACCGGACCGTTCGATCGATAGTAGCGACGGACGGTATGTACAAAGGGTAGGGACGTGGTCAACGCGGGCTGTTGACCCGCGCCTACCGGAAATTCCTTGTTCACGGGGTTGGTTACAAGCCCCAATCCCTATCATAGGAGGCAGTCAAGAGGTTTCCCGACCCTCTCTGGCTGGGACGAAGTCCCAGCTGATACCGCCAATGTAGCGCGCGTGCTTTCTGCCACCCGTATCTCTAAGAAATGTGCAAAACCGACCCGGACCCGGGCGCTGCGATGAACGCTGAGCTTGCTGTTGAATAAACACACATTGGCGTACTAGTTAGCAGACCGGAGTCTCTTTCGTTATCGGAATCAACCAGACGGATCTAACCAACTAAGAACGGTCATGCACCATCACTCACCGAATCGAGAAAGAGCTATCGATCTGTCAATCCTACCAGTGTCCGGACCGGGTGAGTTTTCCCGTGTTGAGTCAAATTAAGCCACAGGCTCCTGGTGTTTCCTTTCTGTCAATTCCTTTAAGTTTCAGCTTTGCAACATTACTCCCCCCGGAACCGAACTCTGGTTTCCCGCAGGCTACCCGCCGGGTCATGGAAGCGTACGCCGGTGGATCGCCGGTCGGCATCGTTTACGGTCGGAACTACGACAGTATCTGATCGTCTTCGAACCTCCGACTTTCGCTCTTGATCGAGGAAAACGTGCTTGCCACACGCCATCGCTGCAGTTTGTCTTGCGACGATCCAAGAATTTCACCTCTAACGTTGCAATACGAGTGGCCCCGACCGCTCCCTTCGATCATTACCTCGCCGTAGACGGAGACCGACAGACGTAGACGAGGTCATCTTCCATAATTCTATGCTTATCGTATGCAAGCTTGAACAGCCCGCTCTCAGCACTCCAATTTTTTCAAAGTGAACGTACTGGCTGTAGGAACGAAAGGAATAATGAGCGATCAACGAAAGTTGAAGCGACTGCGAGAACAAGCAAGAGAGCTATATATTAAAAAAAAAAAATGAAAGAAAGAGAGAAAGAACGGGCACGGCTGTGACAACACGAAGCGCACCAGCGTTTTGCGTAAGCTTGCCGACCTCGAGACGCTAACGGAACAAACACGAACTTCCGACCAACTTTTTCATTGACTCTATTTTGTATAACAACCTTTGCTTTTAAAAATATTTTCATACTATCAGCAACCAAAACTGTCTGAAAACGTTATGAGCGATAAAAAATATTAATCAAAGGGTTTATGATTCTTAGGATTTTATTTTTTGAATTTTTTACGAAATATCAAAAATCACAATTCAGACATTTTCTTTGATCGCTTACCACGGCTACGCGTCCGTATGTATGTATGTATGTATGTATGTATGTATGTATGTTTGTGTGTGTGTGTGTGTGTAAACATGTATACATATGCATATGTATACATGTTTACACACACACACATATATATATTATGATAATATATATATGTGTAAATATGTGTATATATGTATACAATATACATACTATACACATATATATGTACACACACACACACACACACACACACACACATGTATTTAGGCAGCAATCATTTATTTATACATTTTTCATTAAAGACGGCAGACAAGGTACTACGATTAAGCTTTTTATTTAATTTTTCTTATGTTCGAACAAATGTTTTCTTTCTTAGATACATAGTGTGTAGAAACTGTCCAAATGTTTTATAGTTCCGAGCACTTTCGGCTATAATCCATTATCAAGGATAATTTTATTTTTGCTTTTTAATTGGGTGTATGGGTTGTGTGTATGTATCTAGCTAGAGTTATAGGGATGTTTTTTTCAAAACTCTGCACATTGTAATCCTGTTCGTAGTTAATATTATTAATGTTGGCTTCGATTATTTTTAATCTTTTTTTACAAGTGGATGAGTTTATGTTTGTATTTTCTACAATGTTTCGAGTGGAGTCTGGTAAGTTTGTGTATGTGTTTAAATGGGTTCTAATAGAACTGTGATCAGATAATGTAACGGAAGGCGTTTGGATAGGCATGTAGTCGTGTGACCGATGTAATTATTTGTGAGTTCGGTTTGATCAGGAACACAGTTCCTTAGGGGTATAGAGATAATGTTCGTTCGTTGTAATTTTGATTTTACTGGTGTGTTGTTATTTTTTAGGATATGGTTAGCTGTTTTAAATATTTTATAGTAGATAATTTGATTTTTTGTTCAGGTCCATTGGGGTAGTGTATTTCTTTATGGTATTTAATTTATGCTATTTTTGACTGTGTTTCCGGTTCACTATCGTTGTTATTTACTTTGGAGAGAAAATTTGTTGGCCTATAAGGTGGTTAGGGAATCCATTAGTTAACTAGTTAGGTTTTACATTATTGAGTTCTTTAAGGAACAGTAGTCGAGAGGATGAATTCTGGTGTGCTCTTTTTAGGAACTGCTATTTTGTATCTGAGTGGGCATTCACTTTTACAGTTAAGGTGGCAAGAGTTTGTTGAAAATTGGCGAATGTATTGTTAGGTTACCAGGAGGCTTAGAAATGTAGGTGTTCACAAGACATTCATCCACAACAAATATAAAAATAAGATCATTGAAGGTAAAAATAATTCAGGAGGAATTCAAAATGAGGACAACGTGTAAAGGTTTAACAAATAACATTCATTTTTATCAATTGAACATACACAATATTGCTGGCGACCAGTTGTAATAAAATATGTAGAAGGATTATGCTGAGTTTCAATGTGTGTAGGATTGTGGTTAGGATTTGTGTATGAAATTAAACAAGATTTTTTATCGTATTACAAAATGTCTTTTGTGGGAGTTCAGTCACTAGAATGTATGCGTGCATTTGTTAAAGTTATTGTTCAAAGTCTGTAAGAGTTGTGTACCTTTAGCTGTTGTCTTGATGTTGGATTGAGATTTACAAATACTGTTTAGTAGTGGGTCAATTAATTCACTTTCTTTAGTATGTTGTAAGTAATGTTCCTGAGAGAGCGAAGTGCTGTTTGTCGAGTCAGAAGAATTAGCGTGCGAAAAGTGTAGTTAGGTCAAAGTTTTGGCTAGCGTGGATTTGTTTAGCATCTCTCCAAGGTTGGAGTTCTGACGATATTTATTGTATAGAATACAATTATGGCACAAGGCCGAAAAAGGGGAGGGGTTGAGGCTGGTCTTAACTAACTATCCTATACCTAGCTAATCCGATTCACGACCCATTCATTACAATTTGCCCATTCACCACAAAAACCCATCCATCACCAATCAATTCTCCATACACCGTAATACCGCATCCTCACAAGGGGGACCTACAAAACGCTCCCCAAACCATAAAAATATAATGTTTATATATGTACAATTAAAAATTTATGGATGAATAAAATGAAAGGGGAGGAAGATGAACCCAATAATAAACTAAAACGATACACAAAAGTAACTAAACATAACTGATGTTAGTAGGATCCGTCCTACCCTCAAAACAGAGAGGCCGCTGTATTCTGCCCATTTGGACAAAATCAAAAAACTCTCTCGCTAAGGGAGTGGGAGAAGGATAAAAAATTATACGGCCATAGGAAAATATAAAGCTAACCCAGTCGAGTTAAAAAGGGGCCAAAAACAAACTGGGGAGGTTGGGAATCTCAACCTGGATCATAACCAAAGATGTGGCCGGGGACAGTCCAGGAACAACACTTACTCACATTAACTAGGTACACAAAAGCTTGTCTAACCTAACCAAGGGGAGGGCTCCACAGGAAACCACCCCGATGTGACACAGGCTTGACCTAAAAGAGAAAATCAAGGCTAGCCCCGTTCAAATGAACCAAGCTCGCCTCAGTCACCCCCTTTCCCTGAAGACTGTCGAATGCAAGCGTTTTCTATCAGTTCTGATCTTCATCTTGAGCTGATGCTTAAAGAATCGGATCAGATCCTGATGAGAAAGACGGATACCCCGCAAGACTTCATCCTGTCGCGTCGTCCAAATCACCATTCGGGCCGTGGCTAGCAGCGTCAGAAACACCATTCGTTTCACCCCGAAGTACGGGGGCGACACATTGTCACACGCGTATGCGCGATCAATGGGCTCGACCTTTTTGGGAGCGAGACGAGCCATCAGCTCGCCGACATGGTCCCATAAGGAGCGGACACTGGGACAATGGTAGAAGGCGTGCGAAGCCGTTTCCTCTAAACCAAGACCACACCGTTCACAGTTTGGCAAAGCACCATATGAAGACCTTGTCATTGAGAGGCAGCCGATTCCGAGCCAATCGCCAGGTAAGCGAAAACTCAGGGTTGCTGAGATAATACGCCGCTGGCGCCCAAGACCAGTAAGAGCGAAACTCCTCCTCAGACAAGTCGAGCTCCTCACGTAGGAATTCCTTCGCGAGCCCCTCCACTAACAGACGATAGACCTTCCTAGGCCGAGGAAGGTCACTGGACCGAGGAACGGCCAACAAGGCCGACCGACACTCGCGAAGGAAATCCGACTGATCCTGGGGTTTACGATGGCGCTCAACCCGCGAGATGGGGAGACTGATAGCAAGGAAAGGGAACGGGTCCCTAACAATCCCCGCCATAAACGAATCTCCCGTCAATGCGTGGCGTAGGAAAGCCAACCTCGAGACACATTTGTGGCTCTCCAAGTGTGGCATTCCCAGCCCCCCACACACACACCATGACACGGACGTTGTGCACAGACTCGTCTGTCGACCCGATTCCCGCGTCCCCGCCATAAAATGGAGGATAGCGAGTGCTCGAGCGGCTTCCTATGGTCGTCACAGAGAGGAAGTACGGACAATCGATAATGGGCAATCGGGAAAACGTAAGTGGCACACGCCTCCGTCCTGCCCTTCACGGACAACCTCCGTCGACGCCAAGTCTGACCGGCCGTGTCAACCTTTGCTAGTACTTCAGACCAATTTTTCCCCAGCTGGAGGTCAGGTCCAAACCACACTCCAAGAATGAGGACAGGACCGTCCGTCCAACCGAATGGCCCCCGAAGATCGACCCCCTCCCAGGCACCTAACTGCAAGCCGGACGACTTGTCGCCGTTAATCTTGGCCCCTGTCACCTTCTCGTACCGATCAAGCGAACTTCAGTACCGGGACAACACGAAAGCAGATACGTCATCGGCGTACACAGAAACCCTGGCTCAAGTCCCGCCAGGAACGGCGATTCCGCGTAGGGCCGGACTGCACGACTTGTCCCTTAGCCGGCGAAGGAGATGCTCCAACGCCAAAGCATAAAGTAGGGGCGACAGCGGACAACCCTGACGGACCGACCTAGACAGCACTAGACAGCACAAAAGCGCCCGACAGCTTCCCGTTCACCTGTACCAAAGCACTGGGGGAGCGATACAGGAGGCTAATCCAGCAGCAGAAGTCGGGTGCGAATCCGGCGGCCTGCATGACAGTAGCAAGGTAGCGATGGTCAACCCTATCAAATGCCTCGGACTGAACCAAATTGATCAGCGCGGCCTCATCGTCGTCTTTTATACCCTCTATGATCGTGCGGATCAGATGCAGATTGCTCTGAATTGTTCGGCACCTCACAGAACAAGTCTGCTCAGGACCCAACAGAGACTCGGCAACTGACTGCAAACGCTCCTGCAGTATCTTGGCCAAAATCTTTAACTCTGTGTTTAGCAAAGTTATGGGCCTGTAATCATCTAGGTTCCCCCAACATCCTTGCCCTTTTTCAACAGCGTGATCACACCCCTGGAAAACCGGTCGGGAGGGACCCCTGCCGGAACCAGTTGTCGAACACCACAGTCAAAATCGGGACAAAGATGTGCGACAGCTCAAGTACAATTCATAGGGAAAACCATCCAGACCGGGCGACTTGCCTCTGCCGACCTTCTTCAATGCCGCGTAGACATCGCCTTCTGTGATCTCTCCCTCGCAGCTAGGCGCTTCAGTCGGCGAAAGCCGAAGAAAGTCAGCCAAATAGCTGCGAAACT